CATAGAGATAACCGCAGTCGGCGGGTTATGTGGCAAGACCTTCAGTCGATATTCGCTGGACGTATTCGTTCGGGGATAATAATAAATAAGCGACATATTGACATTAAAGCTTTCTTAAATGATGCATTTTTCCTATTTAAAAATAGAATATCTAGAATTCTTAAGGTTTATCCAACCATAAAGGTTAACGCTGCTTTTTGTGGAGAATTTATTAAAGCCAGGCCTAATTCAAACGAAACAATTTCAGACTTTAAATATTTTAATACAAAAAATGCTGTAATAGATTTGGGTACGGATCTAAAAGTTTGGTTTCATGAAAATGTCACAGATAAAATTTTAAACAAACTAGAAGAGTTCCAGGAAAAAGATAGTGGTTGGGCCTTACATAAAATTATAAGTTTGGAAATAAACATTAACAAATTTGAAATGGGTCACAGAATTTCTTCCTTTATCAGGCTTCCCGAGGTAATTGCAAAGAAAAATGCTTGTGTTAACGTTAAAAATTATGATGATGAAGCCTGCTTCGCTTGGTCTATTGTTTCAGCACTTTATTCAGTTGATAGACTAAAACACCCAGATAGAACATCATCATACACACTATTCGCAGGTATTAAATTTAGACGGTATCGATTTTCCAATGCAAATTTCGCAGTTTACTAAATTTGAGAAACTTAATAATATTTCGGTTAACGTTTATCAATTAAAATTAATCGGGAAGAATAAATATAACGTTGAAACTGCTCGTTTAACCAACAATAAACTCGAGAGAAATGTTAATCTTTTAATAATTCAAAATGTTTATTTCGATGAACGTAAGGAGGAGGAGGAAGAAAATATCAGCGAAGACGTAGAAATTAAATATCATTTTTGTTGGATAAAAAATTTATCGCGGCTAGTTTCGAGTCAATTAAGTAAAAAAGCACATGCTAAATATATCTGTGATATTTGCTTAAATTATTTTAGTACTTTTAGTCACATTGAAGATTGCTCTAAAATTAATAAATGTAAAATTACCTTCCCGGAGGAGAAATCTTTATCATTCAAAAACTATAGATACAAGGAAAAGGTACCGTTTATTTTATACTGCGATTTTGAGTCTATGCTAGAACCTTTCGTCGATCAACAACAACAACATACGTCAACCAAAAAATATCAAAAGCATACCGCGATTAGTGCAGGTTTCTATTTTAAGTGTTCCTATGATGATTCTCTATCGTTTTACGCTAGCAATAGAAGCCTCGGCTGCATCGGGCGGTTTACTCGGGAGCTGAAAACATATCGAAAGTTATCGATGATAAATTGAAAACCGTAGTACCTATGAATATCTCACAGGTACAATCATTTGAGTTTTTTTCTACAACACACTGTCACATTTGTGAAAAACCTTTTGAAGGAGGTACCAAAAAGGTTAGAGACCACTGTCACTGGAACCTATCGCGGAGCAGCACACGAAAGCTGCAATCTAAATTATAAAAATTCTTTTGTTGTGCCTATAGTATTTCATAATCTGACCGGATATGATTCACATTTTTTGATTAGAGATTTAGTAAAAACCGGAAACATTACTTTGCTTCCCATCAATAAGGAAAAATACATTTCTTTCACGAAAACAGTGTCAGATTCGCCGGTAAAGTTTCGTTTTATTGACTCTTCGATTCATGGCGTCCTCACTAGATACTCTTGCTTCATATTTAAAGCCAAAGGAACTTCAAAATTTACATAAGCAATTCAGTGGATTAGATAACGATAGATTTGCTTTACTAACGAGGAAAGGGTTTTTTCTATACGATTATATAGATCATATGGAAAAATTGAACGAAACGCAACTACCCGACATTGAGAAGTTTTATAACAAATTAAACGATCGTAACATATCCAATGATGATTATGAACATGCTAAAATGGTATGGTCTAAAATTAATATAACAACTTTAGGCGAATATTCCGATTTATATTTAAAAACTGACATGCTATTAGCTGATGTTTTTGAAAATTTTAGACAAAAATGTTTGAACATTTATCAACTGGACCCAGGTCATTACTATACATTGCCCGGATATACATGGTACTGTATGTTAAAATATACCAAAATTGAGTTGGATTACCTAAAGGATGTAGATATGCTGTTGTTTATGGATAGGGGTATTCGCGGAGGGGTCAGTCAATGTTGTAACCACTATACCGAAGCAAACAAGTTTATGTCTTCTTACGACTACTCAAAGCCATCAAAGTATTTAATGTACTTTGATGTAAATAACCTATACGGTTGGGCTATGTCCCAATACTTACCATATGGTGGGTTTAAATGGGTTGATACAAATATCGATGTAAGAACAGTATCTGATACTTCTCCTGAAGGATACGTCCTCGAAGTTGACTTGGAATATCCCGAACATCTACATGACTACCACAAAGATTTGCCTCTATGTCCCGAACACCTCACGCCTCCCGGATCAAAATTACCAAAACTCATGACAACCTTATATTCAAAAACGCGCTATATAATTCATTATAGAAATTTAAAACAGGCCCTCTCTTTAGGAATTAAACTGACACGCATTCATCGCGTAATAAAATTTAAGCAAGCCGGGTGGTCGAAGGCCTACATCAAGTTAAACACAAAATTACGCGCCCAGTCCACCAACAAGTTTGAAAAGAATTTGTATAAACTTTTAATAAATGCAATTTTCGGCAAAACTATGGAAAATATCCGAAAGCATCGCAATATCAAATTAAAGAATCATTGGGACGGTCACTGGGGCGCAAAACATTATATCGCGAGTCCAAATTTCCACAGCAGTAAAATTTTTTGGGAAGACCTAGTTGCAATTGAATTAAATAAGTCGGGAATAAGCCCTTGTATGTTGGGATGGCTATTTTAGATATATCCAAAACTTGTGTGTACGACTTCCACTATAAATTCATGTTGACAAAATTAGGTGATGACTGCAAATTGCTATATACCGATACTGATAGCTTAATTTATGAAATAACTTGCGATAATGTTTACGATCTTTTGAAGCAAAATTTAGACAAATTTGATACTAGTGATTATGAACCTAATAATAAATATAATATACCTTTATGTAATAAGAAAATACCTGGGTTAATGAAAGATGAAAATAATGGTTCTATAATGACCTATTTTGTAGGACTCCGTTCTAAAATGTACAGCATCTTAGTAGATGGTAAACCTTGTATAAAAAAGTCCAAAGGCGTTAAAAGTAATGTTGTTAAAAATTTCATTACATTTGAAAACTATAAAAATTGCTTAGAAAATAAAACAGAGCTGTATAGAACACAAAGAACCATTAACTCAAATTCACAACGTTTTCTCAGTAGAGCAAACAAAATTAGCTCTTAGTGCCTCTGACGATAAACGTTTTTTATTAAACGATAACCACGATACATTACCTTGGGGACACTATTTAATAGATAGTATCTAAAATAAATATGTATATGTATTTTATTGAAAGTTTAATATAAAATAAATATGTATTATATATAACGTTTTTTATTCCATTCCACCAATTTATCCATATCTTATTGTCTACTTCCTACATTCTAATAAGCTGATAGCGATTTCCTGTTTGTTCACACTTATCGCTATATGTATGCACATAATACCTAAAACTATATATTTCAAACAACAACAACAACATCTCGTGTAATGATGACCTGGGTAACTTCCCGCATTCCACTAAAGCTGATAACGATGCAATACGCCCATGATTTGCTAAAGCTGATAACGATGCAGCGCAGCACGCCTATGATTTGTACCCTTTTAGCCGACGCCCATGCTTTCATTTTCAATTTAATGTTACACGCCGTGCTTCTCTTATCACCTTCCTGTTTCAGCACGCATTAAAACCTTGACAACTTCCCGCATTCCACTAAAGCTGATAACGATTGTGTGCTACTCGCGCTTACATTCAACATTTAAAATTTATCTTAATAAATTATTATTAAACATCAAATGCCGCACACACCTATAATTTGTAATTATTCAAACAGTAAAGCCTTCGCGTACCGCACCCCGCACACCGCCGTCTTGACACCTACCCACAACCACCCCCACGCAGACACCCCCCGTGCCTCCATTACACTTCTTGCACACAGCCACCCAGGCATCTCTTGCACGATGACTACAATGCCCACAAGATGCCGCTGAACGAACTCGATGGACACTGACCATCAGAGCCACTTCCGGTGCCGAACCGGCCCTACTTATCTACTAAACAGCACAGATTTAAATTTTTGTCAGTCTGAAATGAAAATCTCGAGTGGACAGTTTAAATGCTAAATATCAATTCGCTTAACGTTCCAATATCGTTCAGTGCGGACCGAAACCAGTGAAATACATGTAATCAGTGAAATTTTTTTATGAAGTTTTATTTTAACTGATGAATCTAGTCAAATGATCTTTCAAAATTTTATTTTAGATAAAAAAATTAAAATAATAAAATTTAGTCAAGATATGCTATAATTATAAAATTTTTATTGTTTTAGAGGAGATGCATGGTGTCAGACAATTAATAAACCGCATTTGCTTAAATTGAGGAATCAAAGGTGCGGAATGGTATAATTTATGAAAACCATTTTTTTGATAATAAATTTTGTTGGAATTTAAATCACAAACGTAAACATCAATTAATACAGATTCATGATATAAAAATAAATATAAAAAATATAATACATAAAAATTTTTTTGTATGTTAAAAGTACATTATAGTCAGGTATTAGTTTCAATAGTGTATCAAATCTAAAGTTGTATGTTTGTATAAATCTAATTATATACTTATTTTTTTCTATTTGTTTTACTTAAAATCCCTGGTTTCTTGGTATGTGGAAAAAATAACATAGACAGGGTGTTTCAGCTAAGAGGGATTCTTCTAAAAATTTATTAAAAATTGTTTTAATAAAAGTTAACTGGAATCATGTGGCCCATGTAAAGAAAATATTTTTAGCTTTACAGTGTGTTCCATTTCGCATGGGCGCTACATAACTTTGTTATTGTTAGTCGGGTATGCAGTCAAAGCCAAATTTGAAGTGTACTCTTTTTTATTACTCGAGCTTTCGGAACAAATTATTCCTGCCTCAGGAGAAACTACAATGGAATATACATTGGTAACAACCACAAGTAATAATCTAACTTATACTTACAAAATTGAGATTTAAAACGAAAAATTTACCAAGTTTAGAACAAAGTCCATTTGAATCATAACCGTAAGATAAGTAAAAAATATATTGTTAAAAACATTCATTGACGCCTTTGCTAAAATATTTATACTAAAATTGTTTAAAATTTTTGAGCTATTACTTTACAAATACATTTTAATGCTATATAACCTTAAAAACTTTGCTCAGCCATGCGGTAGCATGGAATTCTAATTGAACCCAAAGAATCATAACCAAACTATAAAACCAAAAGGTACACCGAACAAAATAATTGAGACTAAAGAGAGACATGGACTAAATAATATATGGAATTTAGAAAGAAGGAAACAGTAAATTGAGCGCTAAATTTTGAAAAATAATTTCTATAAGCTAGATTCACTAACGTCATTAATAGATGAATTATTATTATTAATACTTAACAAATATGTGACCATGATACTTAAGTTATCAATGTCAAAACGTCTATTCATAGTGTTCTCACATTGAAAGATGCTGCACATCTCAAGGAAATTTCTTTTAAAAACATTATTTTCTGAAAATTTTATACTTCGTTAAAATCAATATCATGTTTACAACTATTTGTATGGTTCGACAACATACAAGAATTCTTATTGAGTCTAATGTCACTTTTATGAGAAACAATCCTATCTTTAAGCCTCCTACCAGTTTGCCCAATATAAACTTTTTGACAATCCTTACAAGGAATATTACACACTACATTAGATTTATGTAATAAAGGAACTTCATCCTTAAAACTAGAAAAAATATTTTAATTTCTAGCCATGGAATAATGGCGCGAATCTTTTAAATTTTGAAATTCCTTTTATTAAAAAATACGTTGATGATATTATACTTAGTGTTCCCTTGGGTAGCATACAACATGTTTTACATATTTTTAATGGTTATAGCCCTTTCATCCAATTTACTGTGGAAGAAGAGGACGAGAACAAAGGTGTTCCGTTTCTTGACACGAAAGTTTTCAGAGCTGAAAACAATATTCTTTACACATCGTGGTTTACAAAACCTGGGGCATCAGGACGATTCTTGCATTTTGCATCGTACCACCCCATGAAACAGAAAATTAATTTATTGTTAGGGATGAAGAATAGGGTCTTACGCACTTCACATCGTTCAAAAGCGATGGAAAACCTGAGAAAACTCGCTCAACTGTTCTTTAAATGTGGTTACCCAAGAAGGCTTGTTAACAAAATTATTTTTAATAGAGGTAATGATTTACAAGTTCTTTCTCCTTCACATTCTGTTCTTGATGGTGGGTCAGGCAGTACTTCCCATATAAATAGTGGTGTTAATCATATTTCGGTTCCGTCAAACTTTTCATATTTTTCATTACCATATATAGAATCTATAACTTGGAAATTAAAAAACATTTTTTCGTATATGAATGATATTCGACTAGCTTTTACGAATAAGTTAATTATTAAAAATATTTTTTCTAGTCTTAAGGATGAAGTTCCTTTATTACATAAATCTAATGTAGTGTATAGGTCGCGGCAATGAGGCACCTATCTCTTGGCCTGCACGTTCTCCCGATCTAACGCCCATGGATTTTTTCTTTTGGAGACATCTAAAAAGTATTGTTTATGCGACCCTAGTTGACAGTGTTGAAGAGCTACAGGAAAGAATATTCGCGGCGGCTGATGAGAATTATGAGATTCGCAACAATCCCATAATTTTTGCTCGAGTCCGTAACGTTTTAGGTTGTGTTTAGAAAGAAATGGCAATTATTTTGAAAACTAAGTTTTTTGTTTTTTCTCTTTTTGATAATAAATTATTTCTTAGTTTCGTTTTCATTGTACTTCTATTTAATAAAAGTTTCTGCGACATTCAAACAGTTATTTGTGCAACTACCGTAAAGAGTGTGTATTTGTTGTACGATGCTTGAAGTTTGCAGCTCGAGACGAAGTTGAGAGCTGCAATCATGTTAAGTGCAACAAATATGCTTTTTGCACATGTTGCACGCAACATTTTTTCTACGATTGTTTTTATTTCAAATTTTATTTAACAGTATTTTACATAATATTAAAATTTTAACTGACAACTGGAAATTAATTGCGCAAATTGTCAATGTCAGACGTTAGGTACTTATGGATATGCTTAGATTAAACTTGTAATCAATATTTTTTTTGTACTACTGTAAAAAAAGTTAAACTTTTGGCACAGTAGGTAGAGCAATAAGTAGTAAATTTTGTACGATCGTAGAAAAAAACACTTGTAGCATGT